CAAAAAAAAAAAAAAAAAAAGAAAAGAAAGGAAGTCTGAGAAGTCTTCTGCCAGCAGTTAAACACTCTGGCCTGGAAGTACACACATCTCTGCTCCCATCTTATTGGACAAGGTAGCCATGTGGGGTAGGGGTGGAGTGGAGCAAAGAAGAATCCTGCCATCCTGCCATATACCCAAAACATTTGTGAGCAGCTCTAATGGCATCCATGTCGCCAAGGTGGCTTCCATCTGACTCCAATGTCAATAATAATAGTGATGACTAACATCAATGGCCACTTACCATATATGAGACATTATAGTAAGCTTTTTGTTTTGTTTGAGACAGTCTCATTTTGTCACCTCTGGTTGAGTGTCCTGGTGTCATAGCTCATAGTAACCTCAAAATTCTTGGGCTCAAGTGATTCTCTTGCCTCAGTCTCCCAAGTAGCTGAGACTATAGGTGCCCAGCACAATGCTCAGCTATTTTTAGAGACATGGTCTCACTCTTGCTAGGCTGGTCTCAAACTCCTGAGCTCAGGCAATCCACCCACCTTGGCCTCCCAGAGTGCTGGGATTACTGGCGTGAGCCACCACACCCAGCCCAGTAAAAATTTTCTGTAAATAATCACACTTAATCCTCACAAGCCTATTATAAGTCAGGTATCTTACAGACAACAGAATGGAAGTCAGAAAAGGTAAATAAGCTGGTCTGAGAATACTGTGCTGGCCTTTACTTAGACCCGGGAATAGACTCCCACAGGTTCCACCAGAACCTGGGTGATGGGTGGAGCATTCACAGGGGGACTGTGGCACCCACAACTTGCCAGAGCCATCATAGGAAGAAGCTGTGGTGCCCCTTCCACAAGGGGCCAAGAGGAGGAGTGACAGGGAGAATCCTGAAGGGTAGCTCCCTTCCACATTCACCTACATCTAAGCATTTGCATTGGAGGCCTAAACTCACACCTAGTGGGGAAGGGTCCGGCTACACAGGTCTACCAAAGAACCGTGGGAGGCTTCACCTCACATAGCTCCCTGAACACGTCTCAGTTTGTTGAGAAGTTTGAGGTATCACTACTAAATACATTCAGCCCTTTGGAAAGATGTCATGGTTTGGAGATGGAGGGAATGAACCTCGAAGTCAAAAAAGTCAGGAATGGAGAGTTCAGGTCTTGGCTCTGCCATAGCTGGTTGATTAGGCAAGTCATTTGGTTTTTCTGAGCCCTCAGTTTTCTAATCTGTAAAATGGGGATATTAATATCTGGCCTACTTTACAGAACTGTTTTCAGGGTGAAAATGGTACATCAAGTATTTTAAGAACTATAAATGATTTCCTCATATAAAAATCAAAGAAAGGTTTATACATTTAAGCCAGGAGATAGGATCCTGATCTTTATATTTTACTGTGCAATTGTTTGGTCCATTGACATTCTTTATAAGAATAAGCTGGGTCCAGGGAAGATAACTGTGGGGTGTTGCTGTGAGGGGCTCCTGGGTAGGGCACAGCCTTGGGAATAGAGAGCCTCCCAGCCTGAAGAAGGAAGGCCAAAGGTATAAAACTGGCACAGATTGGTCAGCACAGTGGCTTATGCCTATAATCCCAGCACTCTGGGAGGCCAAGGCCGGCAGATCATCTGACGTCATGAGTTTGAGACCAGCCTGAGCTAGAGCAAGATGCTGCCTCTTAAAAAAATATATAGCAGGGTGTTGTGGCGGGCGCCTATAGTCCCAGGTACTTGGGAGGCTGGGGCAAGAGAATCACTTGAGCCCAGTCTGAGGTTGCTATGAGCTATGACACCAGGGCATTCTACTGGGATGACAAAGTGAGACTCTGTTTCACAAAACAAAACAAACAAACAAACAAAAAACCCAGATCATGGGAGACATTCTCTGCCTGCATGGCATTTGTGCTTGTGGTCACCCCGGTCACATCCTGGGATTATGTCATTTATCTGTGCTTCAGCCTTGTGAGGCTAAGGTTGGGGAGGTGTCTTGATGGGAGGGATGGAAGAAGTGGGAGGAAAGCAGGGACAATAGAATTTTTTTTTTTTTTTTGAGATGGAGTCTCACTTTGTCACCCTTAGTAGAGTGCTGTGGCATCATAGTTCATGGTAACCTCAAAATCTTGGGCTCAAGCCATCTTCTTGCCTCAGCCTTCTGAGTAGCTGGGACTATAGGCATATACCACAATGCCTGGCTACTTTTAGAGATAGAGTCTTGCTCTGGCTTAGGCTGGTCTCAAACACCTAGCTCAGGTATTCCAGCCACCTTAGCCTCCCAGAGTGCTAGGATTATAGGTATGAGCCACTGCACCTGGTGACAAGATAATTTTTCTTTTTTTTGAGACAGAGTCTTACTATGTCGCCCTCAGTAGAGTGTGTGGTGTCCCAGCTCATAGCAACCTCAAATTCTTGCGCTCAAGAGATTCTCTTGCCTCAGCCTCCCAAGTAGCTGGGACTACAGGCACCCACTACAATGCCTGGCTATTTTTTTTGTTGTAATTGTCATTGTTGTTTAGCTGGCCTGGGCTGGGTTCAAACCGCCAGCCTCGGTGCATGTAGCTGGTGCCGTAACCACTGTGCTATGGGCACTGCCGAGACTGACAACAGAATTTTTTAGCTGTAAATACCAAGTCAATGAAGGCACAGGGTGGGATAATAAGAGCTAACACTCATGAAGTGCCAATTATATGCTAGGCAATGTTCTAAGCATTTTTCCAATATTAACTCATTTGAGCCTCACTATAACCACCACAGGTAAGGGTTATTATCTCCATTTTTATAGATGAGGAAACTGAGACAAAAAAAGCCTAAGCTGGCTTGGGGCTTGTAGCTCAGTGGTTAGGGCACCAGCCACATGCACCAGGGCTGGAGGGTTCAAACCCAGCCCAGGCCTGCTAAACAACAACAACCATAACAATAAAAAGTAGTCGGGGTGGCTCAGCACCTGTGGCTCAAGAAGCTAAGGCACCAGCCACATACACCTGAGCTGGTGGGTGCGAATCCAGCCCAGGTCCACCAAACAACAATGACGGCCACAACCAAAAAAAAAAAATGGCTGGGTATTGTGGTGGGCACCTGTGGTCCCAGCTATTTGGGAGGCAGAGGCAGGAGACTCACTTGAGCCCAGGAGCTGGAGGTTGCTATGAGCTGTGATGTCACAGCACTCTACCCAGGGTGACAGCTTGAGGCTCTATCTCAAAAAAAAAGTAGCCGGGCATTGTGGCAGACTCCTGTAGTCCCAGCTACTTGGGAGGCTGAGGCAAGAGATGGCTTAAGCACAAGAGTTTGAGGTTGCTGTGAGCTGTGATGCCACAGCACTCTCCTGTGGGTGACATAGTGAGACTCTATCTCAAAAAAACCCCCAAACCCCAAAACAAAGAAAGTGAAAGCAGCTTGCTCCACTGTGCCTGGCCTGGAAGGTGATTTTTGCTTTTTTGAGGGGGGCGGACAGAGTCTTACTTCGTCTCTACCAAAAACAGAAAAAAATTAGTTGGACAAGTGTCAGGTGCCTACTGGAGGCTGAGGCAGGAGGATCACTTGAATCCGGGAGTTTAAAGTTACTGTGAGCTAGGCTGATACCAGGCACTCTAGCCCGGGGCGATGGAATGAAACTATCTCAAAACAAACAAACAAACAAAACACTGGGATTCCTGAGCCAAACACTGACCTGGGAACTGGTATTTTGTCATATCTTATTTTATTATATTTATTTATTTGAGACAGAGTCTCACTTTGTCACCCTCGGTAGAGCGCCGTGGTGTCCCAGCTCACAGCAACCTCAAACTCTTGGACTCAAGTGATTCTCTTGCCTCAGCCTCCCAAGTAGCTGGGACTACAGGTACCCGCCATAAAGCCTGGCTATTTTTAGACGGGGTCTCACTCTGGCTGAAGCTGGTCTCAAACTTGTGAGCTCAGACAATCCACCCACGTTGGCCTCCCAGAGTGTTAGGATTATAGGTGTGAGCCACCGCGCCTGGCCCTGGTATTTTATTTTATTTTATTTATTTTGTGTGTGCGTGTGCATGTTATATACAAAGAAACCAGCATTTTAAATAAATATTTCACAGATTCTTAAATTTAGAAAAGTATAGGCAATGGCACTGTGCTATATGGGTAAGGGTGAGAAACAGACTTGTTTGCTTGAGGGGAAGGTTCATGAAGGAAACAGCCAGGCAGAGGGCTGGAAAGCCTTCCTGTATTCATCAAATCTGAGACAGCTGAGTTGTAAGACACACTGTCATTCTATGTATTATACAAAGAAAAAATACTGCTAATTAACACAGAGGTGTTGAAATTATGAACAAATGTATATCTTAGGAGAAATGAGTTCTCAGTGCTGGGACCAGACTTTGGAGGACTTTGAAGCCAGGGTAGCAGTGCCTCAATGAGGCCAAGGTGAGGAGACCAAAGCCTGGTAGGATCATCTGATGCAGAGGCAGAATCTGCTCTGGGCTGAAAAGCGCAGCTCTCTACCTCTGCCCCTGACTAGTGAGTATCAGAGACCAGTTGTTTTAGCTCTTGGAGCCTCAGTTTCTCACATGTGTTCTGATGGTAGGAGCTGCCTCTTGTGCCCCTCAAGGATATTAGCACAAGAAGAAGGAAGGTGAGAAGAGAATAGTAGTGCAAGGTGGTGGGCTGGGCTCACTTGGCCTGACACTTCCTGTATCCCTTCTTGCACTCTCAGCTACAGGCCTAATGATTGGCTGCCTGGTCTACCCAGACGGTTGGGACTCAAGTGAGGTGCGGCGCATGTGTGGGGAGCAGACGGGCAAGTACACCCTGGGCCACTGCACCATCCGCTGGGCCTTTATGCTGGCCATCCTCAGCATCGGTGACGCCCTCATCCTCTCCTTCTTGGCCTTTGTGTTGGGCTACCGGCAAGACAAACTCCTCCCTGATGACTACAAGGCAGATGGAAGTGGTAATCTGTCCTTCTCCATATGATGTACCCTGACTAGAGACCCCAGGGCTGAGAGTGAGAGGTCATTTTAGCCAGCCCCCTGAGGCTTAGCCCCAGCCAAGGGTTAGGGACACCAAGACCATTGGACAAAACCTTTGTCCTCCCGAGGCAGAAGGCCAGTGAAGGGTTGCAAGCCGGCAGAGGCTGCCTATGATAGAGGAGTGCCCCTCCCTCCACAGTCTTTGAGTCTACAGGGGAATAAGCCCCAGTCCAGCCTGGGGGCCTAAGCACAGTCTCCTTCAGAAGGAGGCGCCAAGGCTGGGTCTTGAAGTAATACCGGGAGTGTGCTAGCTGGGGAGAGGAACAACTGGGCAGCAGAGGGTTTGAGTTGTTAAGGAAGGAGGAAGAAGGCAGGTTAATGCTTGGGATACCTTGAGAACAACCCAGTGAGGGTACAGCAGTGACAGCCCGTGGTTGCAAACAGTGGGAGCCTGCACACCCTGTGGTTACTTAGAGCAGCCTTGGGCTTGTCTGAATGTCTACTCTGCTTCAACTCCCCCTCATGCAAATCCTACCCGCCAGTTGTAAGGGTCGGCTGGACCTGACCCTCCTGGAAGGTCCCTGCTTCCCATTGACCTCCCTGCTCCCTAGGGTGCTTTCTGCTTCTGTTTCTCAGTAGTCTTTTCTCCTGTCTGTCCTGAGGGACTAACGTTTTTCAGAGCACAAATATCATCTCCTAGTCAAAAAGCAAGTCCTGTCACCCCTGCAAATCCCCAAACAAACTCTGTAAGAGAGTGAGGGGAGAAAGAAACCTCTGCAGGGGCCGCCATCAGGGACCTGTTACACCTCAGTGACCTCGCCAGTCTCCTTCTCCCATGGTTGTCTTTCTCTCTGCCCCTGGACCTGGACTAGAAGCAGCAGCCGAACTCCCCCATCTCCTTATGACCAAGGACCTTTCCCACATGAGGAACTTGAAGCCCAGAAGGCACACTTAACCCAGAGGTTCACAGAAAGGTGATGGCAAAGAGGAGTCCACAACTTAGGTCTTCCCTGACTAAACCCAGCCTATTTCTCCACAGAGGAGCAATCTGGAACATTTTTCACCCTTCCTTGGGGACAGAGGAAGAGAGACTCACATACTTGTTATGTGGTTAAAGATGGAAGCCAAACTAATAGGAAGGTCTGGGCCAAAGAAGAGAGCAGAGGGGAGTTTCTTCCATTGCAGTAGATTCCTGTTGCTCCTGGGATAGGGGGTTGCTTAGGCCTGGGTCCCCCGAGGGCCCTATACAGGGAAAAAAGATGGAACTAATATATATATATTTTTTGAGGGCCCATTTTTATTTAATCCTCATAGCAGCTCTATGAGGAAACATTAGAGTGGGTGATTTCACAGCAACCTGCACAACCAGGGCTTTCTCCAGTGATGGAGGTTTTCCAGGGGACTCACAAGAACTACTAAGGGTATTTCATCCCACTCTCAGCCTCTGGTCAGGGCTGCCTTAAATATGTCTGGACACAATAACACAGAGTTTTTGTTTTTGTTTTTTTGAGACAGAGTCTCACTATGTTACCCTTGGTAGAATGCCCTGGCGTCACAGCTCACAACAACCTCAAACGCTTGGGCTTAAGTGATTCTCTTGCCTCACTTTCCCAAGTAGATGGGATTACAGGCGCCCGTCACAATGCCCTGCTATTTTGTTTTATTTTGTTTTGTTTGTAGTTGTCGTTGTTGTTTGGCAGGCCCAGGCTGGGTTTGAACCTGCTAGCTGTGGTGTATGTGGCCGGCACTCTAGCCACTGAGCTACAGGCACCAAGCTAGAAAGTATTTTTTATTTTTTTGAGACAGAGCCTCAAGCTGTCCCCCTGGGTAGAGTGTTGTGGCATCATAGCTCACAGCAACCTCCAACTCCTAGGCTCAAGCGAGTCTCCTGCCTCAGTCTCCCAAGTAGCTAGGACCACAGGCGCCACAACACCCGGCTATTTTATGGTTGTAGCCGTCATTGTTGCTTGGCAGGCCTGGGCTGGATTCGAACCCACCACCTTAGGTGTATGTGACTGGAGCCTTAGCCACTTGAGCCACAGGCGCTGAGCCTCTGAAAGCATTTTTATATCACTCATTTGTATTCTTCTTTTTCAGAAGAGAATATTTTGTCAAAAAGAAATTTTATTCATACAAATGCTCTTTAAAGTGCTTTCTTATAAAGAGATGGTTTTGTTCCTTTGACATTTTCCTTTTTTTTTTTTAAACAAATCTCAGCTTTATTTTGTATTTATTTATTTATTTTTTGAGACAGAGCCTCAAGCTGTCCCCCTAGATAGAGTGCTGTGGCATCACAGTTCACAGTAACCTCTAACTTCTGGGCTTAAGTGAGTCTCCTGCCTCAGCCTCCCAAGTAGCTGGGACCACAGGCACCCGCCACAACGCCCAGCTATTTTTTTTTTTTTTTTGGTTGCAGCTGGCACTGTCGTTTGGCGGGCCTGGGCTGGATTTGAACCCGCTGCCTTAGGTGTATGTGGCTGGCACCTTAGCCACTTGAGCCACAGGTGCCAAGCTGACATTTTCTTTACTAACAAAATGTCAACTCCCTTTCCTCTCCCTCCTTGTCTCACTCCTTTCATACCCATGCACCTGTCCTCAGTCTGGTCAGACTTTTTTTTTCATCCCTCAGTAGCATAGAGGGTTTGTTTTATCCTTTTTGTTTATTACCTTTGGGAAACATAACCTTTTTTTTTTTTTTTTTTTTTTAGGTTTTTAGCCAGGGGTCAGTTTGAACCGGCTACCTACGGCATATGGGGCCAGCGCCCTACTCCTTTGAGCCACAGGTGCCACCCAGGGAAACATAACCTTTATGAATACATCTAGTTACTCAAGGAAGGTCCCTATTTCTTTTGTCAGAGCACAAAATTAGGGTCAGGAGAGTCAAGTTCAAGTCTCAGGTCATCCAAGTCATTTTACCTCAGTGTTCTTTTTGGTAAAAGGGAGAACACTAACCCTGCACTCTCATCTCCACTGTTGTGTGGCACGACTGGAACAGGGGAAGCAGAAATGAAGGATGTAGTTGCTGATTCTCTCTTCAAGGGTTAAGGAGGCAGAGGAGGATGAGTATGAGCTCTGGAGTCAGAACTGTGTTTAACTTTTTTTTTTTTTCCGAGATTGAGTCTCACTCTGTTGTCCAGAGTAGAGTATAGTGGCGTCAGCCTAGCTCTCATCAACCTCAAACTCCTGGGCTCAAGTGATCCTCCTGCCTAGGCGTCCCAAGTAGCTAGGACTATAGGCATGTACCTGCCTCAGCTACTGCCTGGCTAGTTTTTCTATTTTTAATAGAGACAGGGTCTTACTCTTGCCTGGACTCAAAATCCAGAGCTCAAGCAATCACCTGCCTCTTTTTCTTTCTATTTTTAGGAGAGTCAGGGTCTCACTCTTGCTCAGGCTGGTCTCACACTTCTAAGCTCAAGGGATCCTTCTGCCTTGGTCTACCAAAGTGCTAGGATTACAGAGATGGGCCACTTCACCCTGCCTGGGTTTTAAGTTTTGTCTTCATTTTTAACTAGTGGTGTGACCTTGCAGAAGCTGCTTAACCTTTTTGAGCCTCAATTTCCTCATCTGAGACTCAGATTTATGGGAGTGGGAGGTAGGTTTTTTTTCCTATCTAAATAAATCCCTACTGCAAAAGGTCGTGCTCGGGAATAAAATAAGGATGTCTGCTCTTATTACATCTATTGAACATTGAAGCTATAGCCAAAGCAATTAGGCAAGAAAAAAGAAATTTTTAAAATCCAGTTTGGTGGCTTGGTACCAATAGCACAGTGGTTATGGTGCCAGCCACATGCACTGAGGCTGGCGGGTTCCAACCCAGCCCCGCCCAGCTAAAACAACAATGACAACTGCAACAACAAAATAGCTGGGGGTTGTGGTGGGCGCTTGTGGTCCCAGCTGCTTGGGAGGCTGAGGCAAAAGAATCACTTAAGCCCAAGAGTTTGAGGTTGCTGTGAGCTGCAATGCCACCACAGTCTACTGAGGGTGACATAGCGAGATTCTGTCCCCCCTAAAAAACAAAGAAAAATAAATAAATAAAAATCTAGTTTAGAAAGGAAAAACTAAAGCTATCTCTATTAGCAGACGACATGCTCTCATACATTTGAGATCCTAAATAATCTACTAGAAAACTACTATAGTTAAATACAACTTCATCAAGCTTTTAGGATACAAGAGCAATATACAAAAATCAACTGTATATGTATACACCACCAATGAACAAATCAAAAATGAAATTAAGAAATGAAATTAGGGCCAGGTGTAGTGGCTCACGCCTGTAATCCTAGCACTCTGGGAGGCCAAGGTGGGTGGATTGCCTAAACTCAGGAGTAGGAGACCAGCCTGAGTCAGATTGAGACTTCCTGTCTAAAAATAGCTGAGTTTTGTGTTGGGCGTCTGTAATCCCAGCTACTTGGGAGGCTGAGACAAAAGAATTGCTTGAGCCCAAGAGTTTGAGGTTGCTGTGAGCTATGATGCCATGGCACTCTACCTAGGGCAACAAAGCTTTTTTCTGTCTCAAAAAAAAAAAGAAAAAGAATACAATTAGGAATAAATTTAACAAAAAAAGTGCAAGACTTGTACATGAAAATTACAAAACATTATTGAAAGAAATGACAGTCTTAAAGGCTGGGTGCAGTGGCTCACACTTACAATCCTAGCACTTTGGGAGGCTGAGGCAAGAGGATCACTTGAAGCCAGGAGTCTGAGACCAGGCTGAGCAAGAGCAAGACCCCATCTGTACAAAATAGAAAAATCAACTGAGCATAATAGGGCATGCCTGTAGTCCCCGTTACTTGGGAGATTGAGGCAGGAGGACTTGAGCCCAGGAACTGGAGGTTCAATGAGCCATGGCAACCTATGACACTCTAGCCTTGGCAACAAAGCATAACCCTGTCTCAAAAAAAAAAGAAAGAAAGAAAAAGAAAGAAAGAAAGAGAAAGAAAAAAAAAGAAAAGAAAAGAAAAAAGAGAGAGAGAGAAAAGAAAAGAAAGAAAGAAATTAAAGACT